CCATGAAAAACCAGTCGAAGTCGTTCTTGAGATTCCTTATGAACGGGTTGCACAACCGTGTTTCTAGTCATGTTAGCCCTTGCCTGGATGTCTCAACAAGACTCCCAGGACTCTGCAATCTCACGCTCTTACCAGCTTGCCTGTTCCTCTTCAGCTTTAGTCAAGGTACCAACCAATTTGCAGACGGAGGCGGCACAAAAGCCATTAGGTCACCATTACGTTACAGGACGAACGCGTTATCAGATTTGCATCAACTTCCAGCAAAGACTCTGGATGCTGATGGAACAACAGTCCCCAGGTACCGTGTCCAAGGTGGTGAAATCCCAGCAGCTCACCTCTGGTGCTCAAGGCACATCTCTGCAAGCTCAGGACCTGCTACGTCTGATGTAAATGGCCCTCTGCAATCTGAGCAACTGGATGACAAGGCGAAGTGCCCGTTGTGAACCGAAGGAGACCATCAACAGAAGCTGCGGTAAGGGCAAAGCCTGTGAGGGCCCGTTCATGTTGCAGTTCAAACAACCGCTGAAGTGATGAAGCTGCCAGGCCTTGCTCGGACATTTCGGGCGGCTGAAAGATCACCTAACAGGGTTTTGACTTGGCACTGCTCTATGTCTGCTCTGGTTTTGCATTGTTCACTGCCAGGGCTTTCAATGTCACTGACTCATGCCATGAAGAGGAGATGCTTGGATGGACTGACATAGATCAAACCTTCGTGCACAAGAGGCGCCTCAAGTGCTTGGTCAGTGGCAACTGCTCGTCTGAGTTGGACAGCGGGAGCGGGCGGTGCGCCAAGCCTGCACAACCAAACGCGCAACCAGTTTAGTTGCTGCGCTAGGCAGGTTGTGCTCAATGCTTGCTTCCATCCTCATGTCTCCAAGCCCCAGAAAACTGCTTTGACGAGGGAAGGTCTGCCAACCCAATTGCATTTAGGCTTCAACTTTTAGTCAAAAATGACGGGCATGTAATTCCCATTGACGGGGACCATTTTGGAGTCCCGGTATGGCGACGTGCACAGTTTACGAAAGTCACTTGCCGAAGCCCTGGTTTTTTGCCATGGGATCCGCCTCACAACACTTATAGAATAGGTCGTTGTGAGATTCAGCTGCCGTTGCGTAGCTTCGACCTGGATGTCGGTAGTTTCTCCTGATAGGGCAATCTCGTGTGAGGTGTCGGGAAGTAGCAGCCGTCCACCTCTCCAAACCTTCAAGAATCCACAAAGCCCAGTAGTGCAAAAGCAACGCTCACTTGACAGAATTATCATGCTAAACTCCCGACCTCTTCAGAAGAGGCTGCCTTAGCCTGAATAGCGACCACTGACGTATCGTGGGCAACGTATACCACGTACCACATGTGGGGCCAGCCAGCACTTGGAAGAAAAGGAGGAGTCATATGGCTTGTGGCCACCGAGCTCGACAGCAAAGGCTGTATACTCAGCATCGATAACAGAGGTTGCGCAAGGACGTGAGCAAAGACCTGCAGCTTCGGGCGGGGGGGGACATGGAATTTTGCTCCAAGACTCGCGAGACTAGGTGACAACTGCTTGAGATATTCTGCAACGCTTCCTGGCCTCAAGCCGAGCCTCCTTGGCTGTCAAAAAGGTGACTAGAACAGCGCTACTTGAAACTGACCTGGGCCCCGGCTCCGTATGCTGGCCATGCTGCCCAAGAGTCTATGTTCTCCGTCCGAAACAGGATTGCACCCGTTGAGGTCCATGCGCTCGGCTTCCCAGCCAGCCGGACCAGGAAGCCACAGTGCTGCGACTGAGGTGACAGGGCATTCGAGTCGTTCAATGCACGAGGACCTGGCAACACTTGGGGCAAACAGTTGTGTAGGGTCTATGCAAGCTTCTCACACCCCTTGCCTATGACACCACTAACCTTCAGCAACGAGAGCCAATCTTGAAACTCGTCCGGCACTTCAGCACGCCAAGGCAGTTCGTCATCCTTATTATTGACCCACACGACTCACAGCTTATGTGCTGGAGAATTTGATGTCAGCTTTGTAGTGAGGAGATACCAAGCCAATAGCCTGTGTCACAGCTCATGCAGCATATGCAGTACACAGGTGTTACCGGCATCTGTTTTGCATGATGTGGCTTTAGCTTCTACCAGAGCCTCATCGACAAGTGCTGTCTGAAATTGATTGAAGGACAGAGACCCGCAGAAACTGCAAAAGACTTCATGGCTGCTTTGAGGTGCTGGCTCCAACGTTCACCAGCAGGACGGAATACTCCTCTGGGATGGAGTCCACCTGAAGGCCCAGGCCAGCAACGCCAGCGACGGGAACAGACTGCATGAGCCGCTTTCGCAACGCATGTGCACAAAGAAGCCAGCATCCAGAACTGGAATCCTAACTTGCGCGCTCCCCGTGCTGTCCCATTTCAACATCATGTCTGAAATCATGATGAGGACAGGTGCGTGGGACTAGAACCCACCAAGCTCCAAGAACGAGATTTGGAAACCCTGAAGGAGGCCGACTTGGACTACACAGCGATAGCTTTCCTCCAACACCTTCCTCAATCTGGTGTCTTGCGCGCTTGGGGGCATGATAAGCCGCAAACTTTTCAAGCAAAGCAAGACGACTGACAGCTTGTCCTCGAGCCAAGCTGCTGGCACCTGGTCACTGTCAGGACGTTGGAGAGGATGAAAGACTTTGATCTGCTCATGCTCCAAGACCAGAGTAGCAGCTTTCCTCACCACGTACAGCAGGTAGGACTAGGGTTCTAATGATAACACAATTGTACTTCCCTTCTTGGATGTCCTGGCTTCAAGGCAGTCAGGTCCAACATGGTCATGTTGGCATTCACACGTGCCCGTCACTTCATCGCAGATGCCATGATCAAAGCAAGTCCCGTTTCCTGCGCATGTTGACAAGACTTGACTGGCACATCATGGGTTGAAACAACTTCGCCGCAGTACGCTTCAGATGCCTGGGCAATATCTTGCAAAAGTGCTACCGTTTGGTACCAGATCCGTGGCGACTGCTGTCTGCTCAGTCGGAATTTCCCAGTCAGCTGCGTCAACAGCATCTGATGAGAACACCTGCACAGGCAAGTGACGCTGCAAATCGCCGGCAGTGCCCCCATGACACGATTGTCACTGCGAACTGGCTGTCAAAGACTTGAAGTTCCTTTGTCTGCCGTCCTCCTGGAGCAACTTTTCCAGGCGACCCGCGTTCACAGACTCCGGAAAGATTTGCAGGCCTCCTGACAAGTCATTCTGAATATAGCCGAAGCTGCTCGAGTTGCCACAAACTTTGGCAAAGTAAAGCAAGGAACCCTGTGTTCCAAGGTTCGAGGGTGGGTCTTTGGAATGAGCGACAATGGCACCAGCAAGGGTAGCAAAACGACGCTGAGACAGTCGTTTGCACTCCCCGGGCTGACGCGCTTCAGGCAGAAGTCATCACCCCGACACATCTTGTGTTCCACCCCTGCAAACACTTGGCCTACGATTGAAGTCTCTGAGATGTAGGGCAACCTATTTCTGCACAGGCTTGATGATTCCGTGCAACTTCAGGCAGTGTTCGACACATGCACAGGCAAGTGGTGAGTAAAATTTGCAACTGCGCAGGCGCACACAAGGTCGGTCCTGTGGCTAGTGAGAAGCCTGCCATGGCCACAGCGATCCCCGTAATGCTGACTGTGATAGACCTCGCGGGCATGGGCCAGCTGCCAAAAGTCGTCCTCTAATGCTACTTCATGCTGCCAAGGAGCAACAGCACCCAGCAGTACCGTCCATGAAGAAGACTGCGATGACATCTGCCATGGAGGAATGTCTCAAAGCCGCTGAGCTGGTCTACATCCAGGTCACGCCGTATTAGGACCTCAACTTGCAGGTTCGGTGATCAGGCTAGTTCCAACATTTACATTCTAGCCACTAGCATGCTGTCCGCAGGATGTACATGTACAGCACATGTCCAAAGGTTGAAACAGAGTTGAGCCAGCACAAATACCAAGCTTGCAGCAGCGTGTGAAGGCCCTGACCTGCATGGTTGCCCGCGATGCCAGAGTCCTGTCAGAACAAGTGCAGGGTGTTCATGCTTGCCGCGATAGTTTTTCAGCCAGAAGTTCAGTAAGAGCTAGATGTTCGCAATTTGGCTCTAGCGATATTCCCGGTTTTGAGCTCTGGCTACTGCCGTTGATATCATAAACCACAGGAGCCTCACGTTCATGGTGACAGAATTGATGGTAGACCGGACTGTCTGGTATGCGAGCGTGGATCGTCTTGCCAAAGTTGGTCCCCTGACAGAGCGAACTGTGGCCGGAAGAATACAAAAGAAAAATAAATGCTGCCAGCCTTGTCCACCTGGACAGTTTGGAAGCATGATGCATTGTACCTCCAAGCAGACAAAGACTGCCCACTGAGTTTGCACGATCCGTCCAACTGCCGATATGTTTCCAGCTGAGCTGCAGGTCTCTTCAGTGTGTAAGGAGGACGCGTAGGATGTACGAAGCGTCTCTGGTCGATCAGCAGGCAATGAAAGAATTGATGAAATTCTGGAGACAACTAGGTCATCAAAATCTTCTTGAGCTCCTGACAGAACACGCGGGATATGTGTCCTCAATCCAAGGGCTAAGCAAGTCCTTTTGCATCTACACCATTTCTGAAGCCACAAGAGCAAAGCCACGCCAAGCACGGTGCAACATAGAGCCTGCTACGTCCGTGTCTGCAAAAACTCGAACGTGACGATCTTCACGAGGACTAATCAAATTGCAGGCATGCCACTCTCCAACAAGCAGTGCCGAAGGCAAAATTATCATGACATTGATATAATTCCAGACCACCAGAGTGCCTCATCCAATGCTGTGCAGCAGGTCAGAAAAACCAAGTGCAACTCAAAAGAATCCTTGGCAATAGAAGCACTACTCTAAACTCGGCAAGATTCCCATGAAGAAACCGAACTGCTTGACGATGCGCAGAACGGAGACACAGTTCGCATAGAAGGAACCTGCTGTGGTGACAGTGGTGACCTGGGCAGTTACGCTATTGCAGGATGCACTGTCAGTGGGTCAGTCTGTGGGCCGGGGCTCTGGCCAGCATAGCTTCGCCTGCCTGCTTGTATGCCCATTTCATGCACTCCCTGGGCCCTGCCCGTGGACCCAGCACAGCAGGAGCCAAGCGGAAAGTATGGCAAAGAATTAACCTTGATAGTGCACTTCTGCTAGGGTCAAGAACTTGCACAAAATTGCTTGCAGTTGCCGCAAAACCACAACACCAAGAAACTGGAAACAAGCATGCTATGCGTCCAAGCCGCATGTCATCAGCCGCAATGCCCACAATCAGGAATAACGACAGGAAATCCAACACAGTCAGCGACTTGTACTCCAGGACCGTGAAGTGGAAGAAATAAGTAGCTGCGAAGGCCAGCAAAACACCCAGCATCCCGAAAATTGTCAAGCAGAAGCTCCGAAGATTTAAAATGAGCAGAAGCGTGACCTTATTGTCTATGCACTCGTCCCTTCTCACCCCCAGGCAGCTTCTTGATCTATAGCATCCAGTCAAGGCGCGACTGCAAAGGTACCTGCGCACCAGGACGCATCGTGGAAAAGCCATTTCTGGACCTGGCCCATGTCTTTAATCCGAACGGTCTGCGTGCTATGGCAACTGCCGAGAAGAGTTGTTTGCAGACACGCCTCAAAATCCTGCAACATGGAGTCGAACCATGTGATCTTTATGTGCTGGAAGGGGAGCGGTCGAGACGAATCATCTGCTCGGCTTAGCACCTGAACATCGTGCCAGTTCTTTTGGAAGGGTGAGCGGACTTGGGTTCAACATTTTCTGGTGCAGTGAGTGAGCTGGGCACTTCGCGGTACAAGTCCAGCAAGAAGGCTTCGTGCTTCCCACGCTGCTCGTCCCAGCTGCCATGCGCGTCGAAGCAAGCAAAGACTATCGGCGCCAGCAAACAGTAAGAATCCAGGGCTTACACATCCAGGCCTTGTCTGCCATCTGTCATAGCCAGCCAAAGGTATTCCGCCAAAGAAACTACCACGCGTGAATTTGCTTCTCAAGTTGAGAGCATCGAAGTCCTTGTCGGTGAAATGCATGATGTGCTCCCTGCAGGCACAAAGCTTTGTTTTAAGCACCAATTGCCAACTCTAAACGCCTTGCTTTCTGCACAGGGTCTCTTGAAGGTGCTCTTCTTTGAACATGTTTGGGCTGGCATGGAGGTCATCACGGAGCTGTGACCAAAACAGCATTGACCAGCGGTTTATTGTCGAGAAAAAGGAATCCCTTAGTCTTCCAATGCAGTGCATGTTGCCCATGAGTTCTAATTACTGCTGCGCGTGGCTCCAAGATTGTGATGCTGGGACCATGTCACCCTTTGACCAAACATGACCAAACGCAGGCCTGAGCATCATTGTCAATGTTTCATTGATATCTTGCAACTCGACCTCGCCCTGGCTGGAGCCTGTTCGGACAGGCCTGGCTGTATTGCAGGGCGCATTGACTGCCGAAACTGCGCTTCCTTCCTTCCAGTGCATCCAGGAAACACGGAGCGGAAAAACAAGTTGGTAGGAGATTGCGGAGCCTGCGACCGAAAATGCTGATGATAAGGTTTCTGTGGCATCTCTCATCCGCAAGCAGGAGCGCAAAGCCTTACAGTCATCACCGGATTTCCAGCAAAAAGAAGCATACGTCTCCATTGACTGAATGAGCTTCTCGAAAGCCAAAATGTCCTAAGATCGTCAGATTGGGGCGTCTGACTGACCTTCAATGCGCAACTCACATTGACAGGGCCTACAACACAGAGGTGCCCTCATCCCAGAAACTACGATCAAGACATAGAACTAGCAGATGTACACACCCCAATCAGTTCCACAAACTGGCAAAACTCCTGCGAATCTAGGCCCCCGGCATGTAGGGCTTGTTCTGTAAAAACGCCAGTGTCTGAATCAACCGCCTGCGCGCCCATCACATACGACTTCTATCCTCACTGCTTTCCTGCATGTTTGCGGAATTAATGTAGAGCCCCGGCAGTGCTCCTCATAGAACACTTCGAGTTTCCACCATTTGCGACCTTGTGTTGGAGCAAGCCTTCGGCTTCCAAAACCTGATGCAGCATGCACTCGGCTACGTACTTGCAAAACCTAGATGATCATCCTAGATGTAACAGCTGCAGTGGCCTGAGCTGCTGTTGCTGCTGTTCGTACTCTGTACAGAGGCAGACGTCAATGAGACTGCTCTCGAGAAACTCCACCTTAACGCGAATCCGGGCCGTTGGCTTTTGTCTGAGTTTGGAGGTGCTTTGTTGCGGAAAGCGTTGGTGTGGGAAGGCTCCTGATTAGGAGTTGCTGCCGCTTTTCCCAGAGTTGGATCGCTGGCAAGGTAATGTCTTACTAGCGTTCCGGGCAAATGGCGCATATGTTGTTGGCGGGGTCTCAGACTCGAACTGAATGTCGAAACCGATGCTCAAGAAAAGTCATGTTGATGCGCGTCCATTTTCTGGTCTTGCAGAGCTGGACAGTATCATTTCACACTTCCCCATATCCTTGAATCTAGAGGCTAAATCCAACGCTTCCAGTTGCGGCGAAGATCGAGTTGGTGGTAAGAGTGTTTAGGGCCAGGGGGGGTCAAGAAGGGTGATGCGGGGCCAACATGAAGGGGAGGTTCTACGGATTCATGTACGGTATGCTTTCCTGTTCTACATGCAAGGTGTACACAAGTCAGAATAATCCGGAACACCTTCTAGTGACGTTTCGATGCAATAGAACCACTGAGACACATGGACAAGCCCCTGTCAGGAAAGTCGTGATTTTGAAATGAGCTGCCCTTCCCAAAGCTCTGTATCTTGCCGGCGATCGCCAGCTGTCTCTTGAGCGATGGCGTCCTCAAACCCATACAAAGACAGAAACAGGTATTGGCGAGGACATTATAGGACTATATAACATCAAGCAGCTCAGGGCCCATCCTCGACAGCGTTTTGGATAAACTGCGCGGGCAAATCCACAGCCAAATATCCGGCAAAGTCAAGATCCACATGCGGTGAGAATCCTGCTGCTGATATCCCCAAATAGCCCAGCGTTCCTGGAATTGTTAATCCCAGTAGCAAGAAGAATGCGGGGCACCAGGTGAGCGTATCCACCCATATCTCAACTGGCCCCGCTGGGTGTTTGTCGCTGCCACTACTGCGGTTTTGCAAACAAAGCCACCTAAGTTGATGCAGTACTGCAAGCCAGGAGTGCTTATCACGAACGTGTTCGAACCAGAGGCCACTCCACTCGCCGTACAGGGACAAAAAAGATAAAACGATGCAGTAAGCTCTTTATCTAATCTAACCTTCGACATGCACAGTCACAATGCGAATTGCTGATGTACCTTGCAGACATGATGCAAGAAGCGTAGGCCGCACACGCACATCATACATCCAGCAAGAAGCGCAAGCAATGGAAACAACCATTGCAGCATGATAGGAACACATTGCCTAGGTTTACCAAACGAACAATCGAGAGTTCCGAGTAATGGCATTACAGTGCTTGCAGTGGCCTTTGTATAACCGTTCTTCTACAGGCACGGATACGAAATCATTGTCCAGGAGTGTTTGAGATGGAGACGCTAAAGGAAGACATATCCAGGAGTCATAAAAAACGTGCAATGCACTCACAAACGGGCATGCTACCTGCAAGCTTTTTTACTGCCCCGTAGGACATGGTCAGGGAGTTCGGATACGAAGGTACCCGCGCCAGTTGCCATTTGCAACCTCAGTTTCACAGCAAGAAGCGACAGCTCAATATGGCACAATGTGGCAATCAAGTTTTTGAATCGCAAGCGCACTGCATTTAGCATTTGCTGTATGTGCGGGGCTTGGGTCTGGATTGCAAGCCACAGCGAAGGAAGGTCCACCCACACCTGCTGAACAATGGTGGGGTCATGAGTTGTGACAAGTGCCGGAGGCTTGGACCGACAACAATGCCAACGACTCACTGCTGACAATAGAATCAAGGGCTGGGACGGAAGGATAACGCCAACAATTCACTTCAAGCAGTAAGACCTGCCGCTCGGCTTTCCGCATCTTTGCCAGCAAAATTTTCGTCACCCACCTTGTCTTCCTTCGCATTGTAGCCCGCAATGGGCCTTGCGAAAGTTCAATCACCTCCTGCTGCCGTTGAGACAGGTCGAACTAAAAACAACGAACGGCATACCACTGAGAACGCCACGCATAATGACCTGTGCAAACCCACCGGTGCATCTCAAAACAAGCTTTGTGACAAAAAATGGCCACAAAACAAGTTACATCACAGACTTTGCTGATGACGTGTAATGCAAATCAAAACATTACAGTGGGTCTCTAAGGCTGTAGCTTGTGTTTACACATCATAGCCCTCACAGACAAAAAGTCAAGGCATAGAATAATCATGCATTGCACGGATGTCCATGACCAGATAACATGAAGGGATCAACCTCCACTGAACATTCGTTGGCCGATGGCTGAACCTGAAAATCTCACGGGCATGCATACCAATTCTGGTGCTGGCCCATCCATCGAACAAAGGCACTCATGCCATCACATAGGCACCGCACGGGAGTAATTCACAAGCAAAAACGGCCTGCAACCAATCAACACATATCACTTCACTACGCCGGGTGTACATTCACACGCCTCTTGGATCCAAATGAGGGCGATGGCTGCAAGGCCGCTGCAATCTGATCAAGTTGAAATCCGTATGACCACGAAAACAGAATGTGCTCATACCCGGGCTGCCAACATCTGCTCGTAAAGTGGACTCCTGGGCATCTCCAGCACCTAGAAGCATGATGCACGAAGCGATACGCCACGAAACAACAAAATATTGGAAGAAACTTGCTATGCCCTGGGCTATCCAGCGGCTTCGGCCGCGTTCACCACCCCCTGGGTTTGCACGGTCCTGTACTAGCACAACGCCGAACATTGGACCGCCAACATGTCAAGGTCATTTCACGAACAGCTTGTGGATTGTGCCGCTTGGTAAAGGGCTCCAGCTTGAGCGGTTCAGCCAAGCATGGCCGGATCACACTCTACGGATGTGCGTTCGCACAAGGACTGGTCTTTGCCCGAGGCCATCATCAACCCCCCAAGCCCTACCCCACCGTCCGGGCAAAGCGCATAATTCTTATGAAGCCACATGGGCTTGCAAGTTCACTCCACGGCGCGCTGCTTGCTCAGCCATATGTGTAAGATCCAACGACACCGGAACGACGTCGCCCCAATTATATACACCTTCCTTTCGTTTACATCCTGTTGAACTGCGACGATCGTTTAAAAAAAAAGAAGGTTCTGTTGAAACGAAAGTTGAAGTAGCATGGTCAAAACCGGTCGCAATGTCTAGGCCACGGTCGGCCGAAACCGGCAAGCCTGAGGTCCACGCTGACAAGATCGGCATCAAAGCCCAAGGCGCGAAACCATTCAGCAAGCAGTGCCAATGGGGCACCGTCGTACCTGGCCAAGTTTCATGCCACCACAAACAGCGTGTCGGGGCCCATAAATTGGAAGAAAAAATTCAGAAGCGTGTCGCCGAATGCCTGGGGCACGGGCGCCTACATCACAGGCAGGGCGCAACATTCCAGAGAGCGTAAGCACGTGGCAAAAACGGACTCCTCCTTTTGCAGGCTCACATAGTTAGATCCGACCAATGTATTTGCAATGAACCAAACGAAATAAGTGTGATACTCCATCCCGACCGAAGGGACATCAAAAGCATGATTTTGCCCACTCGGCATCATTGCGGGTGCCAATAGGGCGCCATGGCAAACAAGTGCAGAATCTCGTCCGAACCATCATGGTAAGCTCAAACGGGGGCACTGCAAGTGGCTGAGAAGCATGTACCTAGCACGGGTCATTCTGTAACCCACAGGACAACTGGTGCTACAGATGTGCTGAGTTGCTTCATAAATGCCGGGAAGTTGTCCAAGATATCCAAACCATATGTGGCCATCACCGGACGCCACATGTTTGCCTGACAGTTGGGAACCATTGGCCCACCCGGTTGCAGGAAGGAGTGACAAGCAGCAGCAGCAGCAGCAGCAGCAGCAGCAGCAGCAGCAGCAGCAGCAGCAAAGAACTGCAACGGTCGCAAGGTTGCTTGCCGCGGCTGCTAATTGAGCACAAGAAAGGCATGGTTGTCTCCGTTCTTCCCACATTCCAACGAACACTGGTCAGTGGTCGGCGAGCAGTGGGCTCGATGAAGACTTGTGCGGGGGGCGGGGTGGGCGGCTGGCTTGCCCCGTATCGCCACGGGATGCCACGGGATGCCACGGGCATAACCATGTGTGGCGCCATTGCCCACGCGACAACGGCAGCTCCAGCAGCGAGCTGCTGCATGCATGCCTGGCAGCAACAGCGAGCAACACAGCCCACCCGGCGACCCATGCTGTTCGGGTTGCCGGCCGGAATTCAACCGGCACAGCCCCACACAATGATATGATGTGACGTGCAAGGCGGTGCAGAAGCAAGCTTGTGGCCTCAGCCTCGAAACGACCACCCGGTAGGTTTCCCTCCTCATTTTTCCTGATTGTTCCAGATTTTGTGTAATGATTTTTTTGATTTTCTCGAAGGACCCCTCATGCGAGAGCTTGATTCTGAGACACCAACTGTGAGGACAGACAAAAAAGTCATTATTAAACATGGGAAAACGCTATAAACGTGATGAAAGGTCAAGTCAGGTTAAAGCCTCGTGTATAGACACATGGGCAGGAAGTGCCGAACAGCCGATTCGCTG